CCTTGCCAATGAATTCTAAATATCAGAAGTGATAACTGATGCCATCAACACAAGCCCAAAGCTGGTTGGCACGGGCTTTAGTCTGCAGCCAGTAGGGGGGTTCTGATCAGAGCGTGGTTCTAGTGATGATCCAGATGGGTTGCACACATTGACAGGCTGCTCTCTGTGCTCCTCAGGCACGCCGTCTGTATCTTCTATCTGGTTCTGAGAGCTCTGGACACAGTGGAGGATGACATGACCATCAGCCTGGAGACCAAGATCCCCATGCTGCACAACTTCCACACCTTCCTGTACCAGGCCGACTGGAGCTTCACGGACAGCAAAGAGAAGGATCGCCAGGTGCTGGAGGACTTCCCAACAGTGAGTCGCTCCTCTGTAGTCATTTATAGAAGTTTGCTTCTACTACAGGGCACCCATTGTGGTGTTCTTACTATCCACGGATCCGTCTATAAATAAAGTATGTGTCTAGGCCAGGGGTAGCCAAACTCCGGCCCTCCAGCTGTGGTGGAACTACGAATCCCATGAGGCATTGCAAGGTTCTCACAGCCACAGGCCTGACTCCTGGAGAGAGATGCATCATGGGATTTGTAGTTTCACCCACAGCTGGAGGGCTGGAATTTGGCTACCCCTGGTCTAGGCATTACCCAACGTTACCCCAAACCTCCCTCCTCCACTCTGGAGCACGTCCCAGCAAATTGTGTTTTCTATTACCGTCCTGTGACATTCCAGACTGTATATTTCATGCAGAGCAGCTCCTGAGGGGTCCATTCCCATCGATGTAGGCATGTCCCCAGAACTACATCTCCTGAGATCCATTGTCCTATGCACAGTAGTGTGTGGAGAGGCTCTTCAGAGTAAATCTTATTCAACAAACTTATTTTTCTGGGGGTGAAAAAACCCAAAAATCAGGGTTTTGCATGAGGGGAGGGGCCGGGGGATGGGTGGAGTGCTGTAGTCTGGCAGGTTTGGTGGACAACATTGCTTGGGATTTCAATACAACAAATGCGCTATTGTCAGCTCATACCGGGAGGTGACCTGATTTCTGGCTGATCAGATATTCTTCTGGACCAGAAACCTTTTGAAAGAGATAAAACGCGGGGAAATGAGTGCGGTGTAGCGACGCCCCGACATGCACTTTAATTCTGGAATGTAACTCACTGCTGTGATCTATTGTTCTTATATAGCTGTGACGTCCCGGGTGTCCCCTCACCGTGACTCCAGAATGTAATTCAGGGAAATATGAATGCTCTCTGGGGGCTCTAAGCTGCTGTGTTCTCTTCTCTTACTGTTCTCAGATCTCTTTGGAGTTTAGGAACTTGGCGGTGGTCTACCAGGAGGTGATCGCCGACATCTGTCAAAAGATGGGGGTGGGGATGGCGGAGTTCCTGGAGAAGCATGTGGAGACGTTACTGGAGTGGGACAAGGTGAGATATGAATATTATCTGCTCACCTCTTCTACACCCCACCCAAGAAGACCGGAGGGGAGGCCGGAGGTCACGTAGAAGGCCGGGGGTCGGATATAATCCTGGCCCTCCTGAATATGCCATAGAAGATATCTTACACCAGACATGTGATCTGTGGAACACAATGTATATTTTATTTTTCACTGATAACCGGCCGCTGCAGATCTTGAAGGTCCTTTTTTTTTGTTTTTCTCCCCTGCACAGTACTGTCACTACGTGGCTGGTTTGGTGGGGATCGGCTTTTTCCCTTCTT